GATATGGAATTCAAATCAATCCGAAGTCTACATGGCTAGGTTTAAGACGAAAGTCCATGCTAAAGGGGAGAGTCCGCAAGAGCTGCCACACAAGGCCTACCCAACTGCACCACCTGATGTCCCCAAGCCATTGCTGAGGGATCAGTTTATAGACACCTTGGACACTCCACAACTGAAGATACAAGTAAAGCAAGCACACCCCTCTACTATGCAGAATGCAATGGCCAGAGCTCTTGAATTCGAATCCTACGTTAAGTCCAGCACAAAGGTACCAAGGTTGGTACAGTGAACGAAGTGAACAATGGAACAAATGATGCTGCTGAATATGTGTCACCTGAAAATGCCACTGTCGAAGAAGAAACTCTACCCGGTTTTGAGAAGGAAAACAGTGAAGCCATTAATGAAGTTACTACCACTGATGTGACTGCTACCGATAATGGGACATTTCCTGATGGAGCAAATGAATCCCACGTGAAGTAGAAGCCAATGAGACGAAGACCAGTATGGAAGAAGATATGTCCTGTAAAATTAAGAGACTTTGTTATATTTTAATTTTGTGACTTAATTAAATTCTGTACATTTAATTAAGTTATTGTTAATTATCAATTGTAAGTGGCTATTGTTTTGGACGAACAATACTAAGGAAGGGGGCAGTGTTACGACAGCGGAAGTCGCGTGACGCTGGGAACATGTGCGCTGGAGTTTCTGGAAGGATCATGAATTAACAGGGAGGCCCGAGTTTGTTCGAGGCGCCCTCTTTTTTGGTATATAAGCCTGGCGAGAAAAAAAACAGTGTGATTGAAGAGATATAGATAGATTGGCAGAGATAGATAATTGAGTCAAATGAACAGTAGGCACCGTAAGTAAAGTGTGTGAATCACTGTGATTTATAGCATGTGTTATAAAGGTTGTTAAGTTTAAAGTGACTGTGGAAATTTTGTGTATTACAAAGTTGTATCGAGAAAGAATAAACTAGTTTTAATTAAGAAAGAACTTGTATCGCTGAAGTTTCTCGGAAAGAATTTTTACTGGAAATTAACAAACAACCAGATACATAACGACTGTAAGAACACACACACCAGCCTCTACATCCCCTGGAATTCCGCTCATGAAAAATCAATATACTGAAAACCTCATAAACAAAGCCACAAGACTCTGTTCAATGGATTACTTAGATGAAGAAATCAACCACATAAAGCATTTCTACATTCACATCAACAAGTTTCCAACAGCTAAAGTTGAAAAACTTTCCAACATTCACCACAACAAAACTCAACTCACGAACAAAATTGATACTAACAAAACCAACAACAGAACATTACACTGCAGTTTACCTTTTGTCCCGGAAACCAGCTCAAGAATAATCCACACTTGGATAAAACTAGCTATTAAACACAAAATTTCTGTCAATGTCAAATTCTCTCAAAAACCCAGCCCTAAATTAAAATCGTTACTAAACAAAAGTTATTTAGAATCATACAATACCAACGTCGTTTACAAAATAACATGCAATAACTTCCCAGAGAAACAGGAAGAAAATTGGAAACCAGATTCACAATAAAAAACATCCCATGTTTTCCACCATTGCAACTCACAAAAAAACATAGTATATCTATTAAAACACTGTAATTTTAAAGAAAGAACCAAACATAAACAAACGAAAAATCAAGGAATCCATCTTAATTGAACAAAACAACCCTACTCTAAACCAGCACCCTGGGGTGCCAAGAGATCTCTTCTAAGTTGTGCTGCAATATCTGGTCATGTGACCTCTTTGTTCCATACTGTATATATATATATCTGTGTCAGTGTAAGTTACTTGTACCTGATGATGACAAAACCTTGTTGAAACGTTGTACATTTGCTGTTATGTTAAACTTATATTAAAGTTTTTCTTCATTACCCATTCAAGCCATCTCCAATCATTATTAGTCTTAAAGTGGGTTCCTCGTCATCGAATTTGAAAACAGTTATCGTAGTGATTTTACAGTGAAATTATCACAGATTGTTATGTAATAACAGAGGAGAGAAGAATAATTCGTCTTTTAATTATTTTTTTTTCTGAAGTAACTGAACCTGCATGTGTGTACTCTGAGGAAAAAGAGACGATTATTTAAAGTTCTGGATACAGCTGTGATTACCAACAGTGTAATGAAAATATTTGTATATGTCTGACTTCTTTTCAAATATTATTTTAAAACAAGTGGACTGAATGCTGTTTGTTTATTGTTGAAATGTATTGCCAACAAGTCACAGACACTTACTGTAAAGAATCCAACTCATACATAAAAACCTGACAGTGGAATAGGTGTGTTTAATAACAAGTGATTCAATTAAGATACCTATTGCAGAGAAATGATATATATTTGAATAATTGAGTCATGAGAATGAATGAAATATAAACTGGACACAAAGTGAAACACATAATGAACAATCTTTATTAAAATTTACCACTAACACAGTGTGTGCGTGTAGTTGTTTTATTGACATGGGATGATTTCTTTTAATGGATCTTATGTCTTCAATTGTTCAGGCTGAATCTGTGAACCAGAGTGACTAAATCTAGTGTCCCTTACTTCACAGAAATTTCATACTTACCCAGATGAACTAGAGCTATCCATGTGACTAGTAATTTTTATTCAAACATATGCGAGTCTGTAACCTTGAGATATCACCCTAACTGTCATTAAAGAACATTGCTGTCGACATCCTTGCATAATGTGCAATATTAGGGTAAATTCTCCAACAGACAAATATTGTCTACTCGAGAATAACAAAGAAACAAATGCAGTTGGAATTGAATAAAACTGTGAAATATGCACATAAACAGAATACAGAATATATACTATAATATTACAATATGATAAAAATGCCTAGTATATTTTTCGTATTCTCAGATGAAACTGATTTCTTCATGAGTATTAGATAGGCCCACTTTATCAGTTGATCAGGAAAATTGTGAAATAAATCTGAGTTTAAGCTAAAAAAATGCACATACTCGACACATGATGTAAAGTGAAACAAAAATTTACGTTGATTCTGGACAGTTGCCCTCTATAGAGCTAGTGAATCAGTATAAAGCTTTAGCCTCTCACAATGTTTTCCTGTCAACTGACTCACGCCATAAATCTGGTAGATCTGATGTGAGTTCAGTGCTCTCTACTAATACGAAATGTCGGTTTCATCCATAGTGACGTGCGTTATAACGTCATTGGCCATTCTCCTATAACACTGTGAAGGCTGTAACCTCTAGATATCATCTACTCGGCCAATGAAAGACACTGCTGTTGCTGATTTCTTCTACACAGCATGTGAAGTTGAAGCAATATCCTCATGGACAAAGTAGATACTATTTACTATAGAAGAACAAAGGTAATTATAACAAAAACAAGGTTTTCAACGGTTTTCTGCACCGCGAAAAACAGTATAGAGTCAAAATTAACGAATGTTTTATGAAAATTACTATATTGCAGGTAGGAAACATATGATATGCTTGCATATCACATATTTATATACCACAATACTATTATTCCACATTTTTGTAAATGCAAATCTAAAAACTGCTGAAAATTATTAAACAACAGTCACTCAAGTAAAAAAAAAAAGCTTGGGGAGCGTATAAGGTAAAGCACATAATGGTTAATTTTATTCTAGATGTGCTTTTAGTTTAAAAATGTAATTCATTTTACTGATTTAATTTTATTATTAGTTAAGTAATGACGTCATGAGGCAGACTGTGGCAACAACATTGTACTTATACTCTCGTAGCGAGAGGAGTGTGAAGTGTAGGGAATAATGTTGGATGTCGGAAAAAGTTTAAACGATGATCGAAACGATTAATGCAGGCGAGATGTTTATTACCAGAACTCTTGAAAAAATTCTGAATGATCGTGAAATTAAGAAGTCGTATCATTCACAACTTAAAAAAGCTTGTGAAGTTGCTTTAGGTAAGTCTGTTTTATTCTCTAAAAATCGTGTTACGATCACAGATACTGCCTCAATGCCTGTGTTACTGTTGATGTGTACAAACTAACGTTAGAAATTCTAACTATTTTTTAGGCTTAAAGAAAAGATAAATGCAATTGAAACATTTTTCAAATTTCTTGATTTGCCATCTATTCATATCCTGATTTCGAAAATACCTTTGTATAAACAGCTTCATCATATTTTTAACAGAACGATATTGATACTGATAGTTAAATTAATGTGTAACCATTACAATATGAAATATTTATTACTAACCCTAGTATTAC